AATGCATAAATTAATAAGTGTGCAATGAGAGTTTGCAAACTTAAAATATGCTGTGATTTAATTTGATGTGCTATTATTTTGTAGGCAGTAGATAGAATTGGTGAGTCTGAACAAAAAGCTGAAGATGCCAACTCATTCCCACCATCGAAATCAAAAAAAGTTACCATCAAAGAGCCATTGAGGTGAGATGAGCAACAACTGTAATGTTAAAAAATATTAATTGTATTGTTATATATATCTACTTATTCAGTGAAATGCTAGATTCTTGTAGAGGACATGATGTCATGACATAGTTAATAAGTATTTTAGTATGTTTGTGGGGATAAGCCATTTGACTGGTAACCAAGACAAATCAGATAACTGCCTGTCGAGGGATGGATATGACATCCCTGAGCCAAACAACAAATAGATAATTGAATAAAGATCATGGTGAATTTTAAGTTCAGTAATGACGTGTGGAAGGTAAATTGATTAACATGACACGAGTGCACTTGAAACAAAGAAAAAATGTGAGTCACCAACAGGAATCAAACCCACATGACCTTCTGAATACCGGGTAGGCACTCTATCCACTGAGCCATGAGAACACATGGAGAGCAAGGTCACAATTAACTTTTCTCCTTTGTTCTCGCTTATGCCATGTTGATCAATTCACCTTTCACAACAAATATATATATAAATGATAGTTACTTTATTTTATGTGATTTTGCTGGACAGGTGCCACAATATTATTGTCTCCGTGATAACAGAGCTAAAATTTGTTTGCTTAACTTTTTTGTTTAACTTAATACCAATGGAAATAAAGGGAATACAGAAGAGGTGTGGTTTTAACGATCCACAGGACAATAGAAATAGTCAAGTTGACACTACTTGCCTTTAGTTACTAACACAATTATTATTAATTTGATTTGCTTTATATTTTTTCCTCTGGTTTCAGATCAACTAAGAGTCAGAAGAAAGGACTGTATGTCACAGAGAATATACTTCACTTTCCTGTTACAGCACCAGGGACAACTAGTGTAGCAAAACTACAGATCAGTAATTATAGCCTGGGAGAGACTCCATATTCGGTGAGCAGATACTGCATTGTTCCCTTCAATCATTTTCTATATGGTCCTATATCTCTTGTATGTGCTTCATATGACTTTGTCTTATAACTTCTTTCCAACGACCAATGTGCAAGGTTCTTGCTGCTTCTATTACAGCCAAATACAGCAGGATCTCCAACAAATAAAACTCTTAGAGTCCCTGTCTGGGGGAGGCAAAGTCAGTTACTGACAGAGTGAGTGTGCAGGGCTCTGGATTGTAAGATCCAGATTGGAAGTCTGGCCTTTGGTATCTTTATGCTTTTTCATATGTAAAATACAACACTCGCACTGTGTTACTCCACCCAGGGGTGGTATANGAGATATTTCTATGCATTAGCCCATGTTGAGCCAGTACATCAGTATGATCACATTTCCCAAATGGCCTCTTGATATTATCACTGGCAAATTGTCACCAAGTTGTGAGATGGGGCAAGTAGTGTTCAAATGCATGAGAAAGTTAGCATTGTTGAAAGATACTTTTGATAGGTTGTCTTTCATCCATGAACGTTTCATCTCCACTACAGACAGGGAAGCTCTTTCAGTGTCAAATGAGCACTGTACAAGTCAGTACAAACAAATATTATTGTGCACTCTCACATCATGTGATGCCAAACTACCTTCACTTCATTAGCTAGCAAAACTACATAATAAATTCTTGTGCCATACTAATTTTAATAAGTCCAAGTAACCTGACTGCATGCTATACACAAGTTGATCTAGGACTGATAATAATTCTGTTCCTCTCCTCCATTTAGGCCCAATAGGTATGTTCGATTTCCGGTGAATTTCTCACCCACCGAGGCAGGAAAATCTTTTGAGGCATCGTTGGTAATTACTGCTGATCCTGACATCATTCTCACTGTACAGCTTCAAGGGTCAAGTGCTGAGTGATTTGACCTCTACAGGGATGGCTAATAATTTATTATTACATAATTTAAAAATGAAATGGTATATTAAATTATTAACAGAGATATTGATAACTACAGGAGAACATAAAGAATTATAAACAAGAATACAATCAGTCATGTAGGTTGAGATATTTCATCAAAAACAACAGCTGCATTTAGCAAGTGGAATGACGTATATTTTTCAAAGCATTGGAACACAAAGCGTAACTCGTTCTTGGTAAATGTTTCAACAGTAGAGAGCATTTTTCTATTTGAATCAGATTTCTAGTTGGGATGTTCTGTAGAGTGAACTAAAACAATAATTGATGCAAATAAAAGTAATCAAGGTCTAATTTACCAGCATTCCTTGTCTTTGTGTACAGAGTAAAGCAGCTGGGTGATGAGAAAATAAACTTCTATTACTAATTATTGTCATAATATACCATGAAATTCTCGGAACTAGCTAGAAAAGAATTTCTGCAAACTGTATGGAGAATCAACAGATGAATTGATATCTTGTTTGGGAGACTGAAATGGTCAAGGTACATTAATATTGTACAGGTATGAGAAAAAGACTGAGATATTTCTCCACGCAGTATTCATTCTGGACATAGCTATGCAATTTGGACCATTCATCATTTAAATAGAACATTTCACTCTGTTGACAACAATAAAAATTGTTTCCAGTTGAAAGCTTAAGCCTGGCTTCACATTAATTTTTTTTCTAGCAGGGAAATTATTTAGATTATGCATACTGATGTGAGCAATGTAATACTAGAGTTACCAGTATAAACAAATGAAAGTTGGTATTCCTATTTGGAAGGAAAGACATGATGGTATTCAAACAATGCTTTGTATAAACCAAGCAGGAGTTAAATTAAGACGATATAGAGAGCATGTATTAAATTATTATATATTTATTTATTTTACCATGTGCGATATGTAACCTTTGTAGTGTGAATAAAGCACAATGGAGTGATAGGATTTCAAATTCAGAACTGACTATTCCGTCACATCAGTACTGGGGGAGGGGGTACAGGGGTACTCTGTGAAGTTTTATACAGGGCGGCTCTGCCCCTAGGCCCAAACCTTTATCCTTTTACCCTTTTGGCAGAAAAGGTAACCCTTTCGTATACCTTCCATACGAAATGGTACCTCTTTTTCACATACCTACAGTACACTTTTACCAACCCTGAACACGTCCTGCATAAACACCAAGTTTTGAATATATGAACTGCTGTATTTCTGTGTTTTTGTCCCTAGTGAAAACCAGGCCTTAAAACTATTGTTTTGTTATCCCATACTAGCAATGACTCCATAGAAATACAACTTAAATGTAATGACACAGAAATGGAATAAAAAGCGTTTATTTACAAATCTTACACTTCAAGTTATATTACAATAAAGTGCAGCTTAAAAAGCAAAATGCAAGCATCTTAGTTTACTATACCCATTAAAATGAAAATAGCAACAAGCATCACCAGGAAAAAAATAACCCCACCTTGCCGATTGGGGCTAGATTAAATTCAGTTGCAAACAATAATTATTAGAATTTACTGTTCACACCTAAATTGAATGGAAACAGACACCAGTCCTGTAACAAGTGAGTTTGAGGAGAATGTCTGTTACTACTATTGATTGGTGTTTCATAAAGCGCAACAGCAATAAGGTACAGTAAGTCATGTCTGATAGAATTTTTTTTAGAAAATGTAAATTTGTTTGTGACAGTCTTGGAACTGAAAGCTTTGAAGATCACCCAGAACTTTAAAACTTTGCCCATAATTATTCTCCACATAAACTAATCATATTGAATGAAACACAATATTNTAAAATTAAACGCAGCAATTTGTTTAAATATGCAGATCACAGTACATTCATTCAACTTGATAATTTGTTTCGACAGAATGGGGTTTATATTTAGGCTTACATTTTATAATTGGCTTTGAATAAATCAAGGTTATTTTACAGCTTTTAGTTCTAATTTTCAGCAGTAACAATACGAACAATTTAACAAGCAACTGTTCAAAGGCCTTATTCAACCCATATACTGGCAGGCTTTCAAATTTAAGCTACGACACAGGACGTTTACAACCCCTTGCGCACCCTACACGCACGCAAGCAATAAATTTCTTCACTTGGTATAAATCACGATCGAATACGCGACCAAACGACAGACAGTTCCAAACGAAGAACGAACGCTTCTAGAACGTTTTGGGTATCGTGTAACACAGTAAGCTTAATTCCTGTAATCCTTCAAGGCAGAGGTAAATGTTCTTTGTTTAGCAGGAATAAACACAACCTACAATCTTGTATTGTCCGATAAGAAACCCCCAGTTCTCGGGCCATCGCTTCGCAGCACTGTGTTCATGGCCGACGTGGTCTTTCCTGATGAGAAACGATCAACTTTACGTCAATAACAAATTCAAAACATTAAAGTATAGTGCATCTCAAACATACTTGAATGTATCAACTTCGTTCACGTTCTCCATACAATCAATAGATGTGACAAATAGATCGAAGTTCGACTTTAGAACTAAGCTTAATTAACAAATTTACTTGAACAATCGGAGACTTCTCTTACCAGATTTGGTCCTGATGGACAAAATTGAATCCCGACTTAGCTTTTCCAAACACCATGTAGAAATCGTTCCCCTGTAAATGTTACAAAACTAACAGCAGAGCACTCAAAAAGTTTGCTGAAGGTGCAAGCAAGACTCGATTTTGCGGCGCTTTGTTGTCCATGGCAACCGAGATTCCACGTGATCAGTAATGATTTATTCCACTTCCTCGACCAAGCGTGACTCAATTGGCTGTTTCTCAGCAAAAAAAGAAAGTGATGTAAAATGGAAATCACATGCATTAAATCATAGCATTAGAGAGCATCAAATTTTTGTTGCATTATTAATTAGGCAGCTTGAAGAAATTTTCGGCTCTCCTGAAATCAGGAGCTCCATATTCTACCATCATCACTAAACCAGCCGAAAAAACCGCGAGTGCAGCGCGAGGGTTGGGTAATGAGGCGGAGAAAAAATATAGACCGAAGGCGGATTTTCTCGCAGTGCGGTCCCGAGCAAGCTTAGTTGCAATAAGAGATTGACCACTTGAGTGAAAGAATTTAGAAAAAATGTCACGACCATGGACTGGGAAGGAACCTTAAACTTCGCACAGATTGCGCGCAATTTAGATCGAGTGTTCAATTACGTCTGACATTTTCAAAAAGAGAAGGGAAAGAAATACTCTTTCACCTGTAAGTCGTAAGTTAATTCTTTTAGAAAAGTAAGTCGATGGAACCAGAAAACCTTCAAGAGCAGTCGCATACCTGGAAAATATTGGACCGGCAATGGAGCAGTTAGATCGGCTAATTTTAGGCGCACCAGCAAAACAGGTGAAAATTACTGGTGTAAGAAAAATAGCAATAATAAAAAAATGGATTGTAAAACAGCACACAACTTGAGCATTTCATGTTTATTTCTTTTCCTTTTAGCATTACCCTGAACATTCGTTTGTGTTTTAACTCCCTTGCAAAGACAACTACGTTTCGTAGGTTCCAAAAGCGTCAGTGAGTGACGCACGAAATTTGGGAGCCCCGAATCGAAACGGAACTATTTTGCGGTCAGTGTAAAACGCAGACTGTGGACTGCAAACCGAGGGTAGAGTGCAGACCGCAGACTACAAACTCGTTAAGTGTACTTCGTGTTGTCTCCAATATCAAGTGCCAACCATAAACACTGACCTGGGAGTTATTCAGGTTAATCCGAGCGAAAGTCTGCGCTACATTTAGCCTGAATATCACTCGGGTTAGCCCTCAATGATGGAAATGGCAACTCGATTCAGACAACAAGTCTGCAGTCTGCATTTCACTCTCCGTCTGCATTTTACTCTCCGTCCGCACTTTACCTCCGGTCCGCAGTCTGCAGTCTGCAGCCTGCGCTTGACACTGGCCGTTTTCACACTAGAGACAGATAATCCGTCTAGACGGATTATCCGCCTATTTATATCCGTCCGATTATCCGTCTATATAGACGGATAATCGGACGGATAAAAATAGACGGATTATTCGTCTAAAATGAGCACCGTTCCGTTTTCACACTAAGACTAATTATCCGTAATGGACGGATAACCCGTCGTAGACGGATTATCCGTCTCTAGTGTGAAAACGGCCTCTGATCGAACTATTTTACATTCTAATTCTAACGGTGGTCATTTAAGATTTTAGCTTCCTAGGTAGCATCACCAAAAAAATGTACGCCTAAAAGTTGCCGCAAATCCTTCATAATGTTAATCTACCTAGATAACGTTACATTTTCATATGCTATTTATTTATGATGAATTTTTATATCCTAGTTAGCTAGACTAAATTATCTACAATGAAACAAAATATATGAAATGAACCCCAATTATGTTGAATAATCGTTGACACCATATCAAATAATAATACGTTGTTCACAAGTCACGTGGACTGCACGCGTGTCTTGACTAGTCGAAATTTTTGTAAACCAATTCTAAATGAGGAGAAAAAAAACAAGCAAATCCCTCCCAAGTTAATTTTAGAGATGGTACCCAGTTCCTCCGCTTATAACGTTACGACGCGCGTCGCGTGCATGTTTTCGTGGAGGATGAAAAGCCTGAAAATGTTTCTAAAGCTGCTTACACTGCGTATCTACGTGAGGAAAATCCGCGCCGTAGGATTGGGTATTTGTGGAAAATCCTGAGATTTCCGAAAATTCCGAAACCTTTAATGATCTTGCGTAGTTCCTGTACGGCTTTCTCCCAGCCCTTCACGGTCAATTGATTTCGGTGACGTATCCGAGACCAACGGCCTACACTTTTCGCCACGGACCACGTGACCCGAAAACGACTGACCGAGGCGAAATATTGAGGCCCAGGACCTAAAGGAAGGAATAATGTAAAAGAAACTTAAGAGGGACTACTCTTCATCTTCTCTCCGTCATTTTGGGAACAATCTTGACAATTATTCATATCATCATGTAGTAACGATATTTGTCATAGCTGCTTTCCCGCCAAGTCTGGGAGTAAATCTTTGGTTTAGTCACTATTCCCTTTCTTCTGTACTAGAACACCCAGAAAACAAACGGAAACATTTTGGTCAGTAAAATCAATAATTCGGTAATCAATCAAACATTTCAGCATTTTTTTATGTGATATGAAAATAATTTTGTGATTTTTTTGTATACTTTTCAAAATAGACTGAATCAATTTAGTATCACTGTTGTTCTGTGATATGAAGTTAACTTTTTATAACAACCTTTTCCCATGTTGTAGCAATAATTTTTCCCAATGATCTTGTACATGTCTGCAAACACCCTTCTGTTTTCTCACTAGCGATTAATCGATTTACGATATCAGATCATCTCATTTTTCAGTGCGCACTGAAGATCATACCTAAGAGTGTCTACACTATTCTCCAACGCCCTTAGAATCTCTTGTAGCTTTACACAGCGACGAACATTTTAACACTGAAATACCGTACATGTATACCGTGATGTAATCCACATCGGCACCCAGTGTCAAACTATGTTTTTTGACTAAGTCCAACAAACCCTTTTACCAAGGACATCTATGATTAAAACCCCTCCCACCCCTACCCTATTCAGACGATTTATCCCGACAGGACAACATTGAACGTTTACACGAATGAGCATCCCAAGATGTGGTGAAATGGCCGAAACCTTATATATGCGTGATTCATGAATGAATACATAAATTTAAAAGCTATCTTCCAAACACTCACAGCACCTAACCCAGCCAAATTGATCACGGCTTCTAACAATAAACAATTTTTAACTTTTTTGTTCCATTTGTCCAAGCTCACTGATTACTTCCGCCATGTTTGGTCTTTCTCCAGGATCTTGGCGCACGCAACTCATCACCAGGTCTCTGAAGACTCGATCTGTTATCAAAGAGATTTGGTCCCGACTCTGATGAGGCACTGGGAGTTCCCGGATGCACATTTCGCACAGCAGCAATCCAAAACTGTAGACGTCAATCTGAAAAGAAGAGACCACTTTAAATGAAAATAAAGTTTCTTCTGTAAATTAAGGTAAAAGTCAACTGTAAGAAATGTTAACCTCATTAGCATTCCGCTGAGAACTAACAGAGGAGTGAGTCTTCAAAAATTTGCACGGCTGTTGGAATTTGTTTTTTCAAGTCCTTCACGTTGGTACCTTGGTGATCTTGGCTTCGTCGTCAAGAGAAGTGTTACACGATGATCAAAATCAAGACTGTGAAATGTGTTTGTTGGCACGAAAACTGTGAACACCTTTAGCTACCGCAATAAAAAGTACAAAGATGAGGAGGAAATAACGTACCATAAGAAAAAAGAAATAAAGTTATCATTCAAGGAAGTCAACGTGTTCTAAAGGGGTATAAACATAAAATATACCACAGTATATATGGGTTATTCTCGCAGTTACTCCCTGTTCAGTGTTCTTTGAGCAGACTGCCAATGATAACTAGCGTCTTTTTGTGGCAAATATGGTTTATCGGGAAAAAAACAACAACAGAAATTCATTTGACGAACCTTTGGCGACTGCTCGGGTGAGAGGGCCTCTGGCGCAGAATATATAACAGCCCCTGGATTGATGGTCCTACACTGTCTCATAAAGTTCGCAGTACCATAGTCAGCCACTTTTGCACGCCATTGCTTGTCTCGTCGCCATAGCAACACATTGGCGCTGCTAACATCGCGATGAATTATAGGAGGTCTGTTCAGGTGGAGATAGTTCAAAGCTCTAGAGACGTCTAGTGCAATGGTGACGAGGTCGGCTTTGTCGAGAGGCTGTTTCTCAAGCAGATCTCTCAAGCTGATATCCATCAGTTCTGTGACAAACAAAGGTACGCCATCGTCATTAGTAGCTCCGATAAACTGTAGCAGGCACGGATGACGGCATCTGGAGGCAATGCCCATCTCCCTCATAAACAAGCGCCTGTTGTGTGGGGAGAGAATCAGTTCATGAATCTGCTTCACAGCCACTCTACATCCGCGAAATTTCCCTTCTTTAACGACGCCCCAACCACCAGTGCCCAGACTCCTCTCTTTCGACACCTCCACTTCATCTCGGCTGATAATCCAGTCACGTGACTCTAAGTCTGGGTGAGCCTCGACTTTTTCACCGTGGATTGTTTCTTGCTGTTGTTGTCTTTGTTGTTCGAACTCTCCTTGATTAATTAATCTTTCTTGTAAAGCCTCCAACTCTCTTTGTAACGTCACCTTTGTATCCCTCTCCTCTTCTATTTGTCTCGTAGAGTCGTTTAACTGTCGCTCCATGTCTGATTTCGCAGCCCGTTCTTCTATCAAACGCCTCTCGAATTCCGCCCACTCACGATCAAACCGTTTCTGCATTTTACGAATCTTACTTCGTTCTTCCTCCAGGAGACTTTCAGCCTCAGCTCTGTGAAGTGCTTCTTCACATAATTGCTTGTGCAAAGCATTACATTTCTCTGCAAGCTTCTCTCGAATTGCTAATTCTTCGTCCAGTCGTTTTTCCAAGCTAGCAATCCTTAACTTGCTCTCTTTCATACGGTATTGGGCTTCATGCAAGAGTTTCTTCTCTTTCATGTACAACTGTTTAAAGTCCTCTACCTCATCCTCGCTTGATTTCTCTTCCTTTAGCAGAGTATCATTTCTGCACTCTTCAAGATTCTCGCATCCATCAAGCTCGCCAGCTGTTTCTGAACCGTCCGTATTATTTTCATCCACAATCAAAGCCTCGCTCCTCTCTTGAAGAAGTTCTGCTTCCATTAACGAGTGTTCTGAACTCTCCATCCCAGAATCCTCTCCGCTTGGCTTCGTTTCGATCTCTATACAGGTGTAATCATCTTGTACGTTGTCTTCTAAAACATATGGAAAGGAAAACCGCAAACATCAGTAAATTACCTCTAGAACAATCAAATTCCGCACGGGCAAGATACCTGCTGTTTAATCTACCACTTTCTACACGTTGCAGCAAAATTAACGGTGATGGGCATCCCCATTCCCAAGGAAAAGCTCTTGGGAACGAGGCTGACACAATGCAAGACTCAAAACAAAGATACATTCAACTGGTCCCAGGCAGGGGGGAATACCACGGAATGGAGGGTGCTCCCAGATATTAGCTATATAGGTATGTACTGCAGGATAGGGTATGGTTTTTGAAGTTCCCGTGTGTCCAGTGTGATCCTCATCCTTAGATAGGGTACCTAAATTGTACCAACTAAAATTGCAGTGCGTATAATGCCCAGCTAAACGGAAAACAAATTATATACTTGATGCTTAACTGACGATGTTACAGAAATGAAAAAAAGAACCGTTCACGCCATTTTTAGTTTTTGTTTTCCCCTTGAACAGAGTGGCATTTTTCGGGTTTGTGCTTTAAGTGGAGTATCAATTTGCGTTGGCTTCATCCTTAAAGAGCGTCCAGGTTTAAGACCCTATTAGGTACATGCCCATCCGAAATTTACCCCAGGGGAAAACCACGCAAAGGTCAGGGATGATTCGACTTTGGTTTTGCTAATGGGTGGTTAAAAAACACTTATAATAAGTGCCTTGTTTTGGCTGCCAAGCAACAAACTTTACTTTTGAAAGTGAAGAATGATCATCGCAGTTAATTTTCCAATTTAAGCAATTGGAAAGAAGAAGCCTGAAAAAATCAGGGCTTCAACGGGATTCGAA